TAAAAAACATTCATTAACAAAATAGAAAAAGAAAGGATTAATGAACTGAATCTGAACTTTTAAAAATTAGAAAGCCAACAAATAAACCTAAAATAAACACAAAAGAGGAGATATTAAAAATTAGAGGGGAAATAGACAAATCAGAAACAAAAACATAGAAATGGTAAATAAAATTAAGGGCTGGTTCCTTGAGAAGACTAATAAAGTTGATAAGCCCTTAGCTAATCTGATTAAAAAGAAGAGAGCAGAAAATCAAATTAATAAAATAGCAAATGAGCAAGGTGAAATCAAAACAAAATAAGAAGAAATAAAAAGAACAATCAGAGCATATTATGTACAGTTACATGCTAACAAAATTAAGAACATGAAAGAAATTAAGGAATGCCTTCAAAAATATAAAATATCCAAACTACAAGATCAGATAGAGATCTTAAATAACCTAGTTTCAGAAAAAGAAATAGATCTAGCTGTTAAGGAACTACCAAAGGAAAAAATTCCTTTGGTCCTGATGAGACAAGAGAGTTCTATCAAATTTTTAAAGAACAGAACCCACACTTCACAAATTATTCTCAAAAATGTGAAATAAAGCATCCTACCAGAATCATTTTATGAGACAAATAGGATCCTAATACCTAAGCCAGGGAAATATAACCAAGAAAACTATAGATTGATGTCATTAATGAATATTGACTCACAAACTTTAAATAAAATCCCATCAGATTACAGTGATTTGTCCAAGAAATCATTCATTAAGATCAAGTGGGGTTTATACCAGGGATACAAAGATGGTTCACCATTAGGAAAACAATCAACATAATCATATTAAAAACCAAAACATCAAAAACTATATGATCATCTCAATAGATGCAGAAAAAGCCTTAGACAAAGCACAATCTCTTGTATGCTAAAGCCCCCACAAAGTATAGGCATAGAGAGACCTTTTTTTTTGTCTTTTTCATCATAAAGAGTATCTATCTAAAACCAAAAGTGAGCATCATATTCAATGGAGATACACTAAAACTTTTTCTAATAAATATAGGAGTGAAGCAAGGATGTCCACTCTCCCCACTATTATTTGATAGAGTTCTGGATATGCCAGCAATAGTAATAAGACAAAAGAAAGAAATTAAAGGCATAAAGATAGGTAAAGGAGAGATAAAACTATCTCTATTTGCTGATGATATACTTGTATATTTGATATACTTGGAAAATCCTAGGGACTCAGTGAAGACACTAATTGAGACAGTTAATAGCTTCAGCAAAGTTGCAGGCCACACGATAAACCCTCAAAAATCAACAGCATTGGGGCAGCTAGGTGGCACAGTGGATAGAGCACTGGCCTTAGAGTCAGGAGGACCTGAGTTCAAATCCGGCCACAGACACATAACATGCACTAGCTATGTGACCCTGGGCAAGTCACTTAACCCCACTGCCTAGTCAAAAAAAAAAAAAAAATCAACAGCATTTCTATATAATAATAACAAAACCCAAGAAGCAAAAATAGATAGTGAAATCTCAGTCCAAGTAACTGTAAAATCCATATAGTATTTGGATGTCAACCTACCAAAGCACACAAAAGACTTACATAGTCAATTATGAAGTGCTCCTTAAAGAAATAAAGCACAACTTAAATAACTGCAGGAATATTCAGTGCTCATGGCTGGGCCATGCCAATATAATAAAAATAACAATATTTCCAAAATTAATTTATACTTTTAATACTATACCAATCAAATTAACCAAGAGGAGGATGCTTTACAAAATTTGATAAAATAACAAAATTCATTTGGAAAAACAGAAGATTTAGAATATCAAAGGAAATGATGAAAAGAGGTAGAGATGAAGAGAAAATAATACTTCCGGACCTCAAACTACATGATAAAGTAGCAGTCATCAAAACCATCTGGCACTAATTAAATAACAGACAGATAGGTCAATGGAACAGACTAGACAGGGGAGAATAAGAAATAATAAAACACAATAACCCAATGTTTGATTAAGAGGAAAATATAAATTACCTAGGGAAAAAAAATCTTTTTTTGATTTTTTAAGAAACTGCTGGGAAAACTAGAAAATGGTATGGAAAAACTAGGGTTGAGACCAATTGTTGTTGCTGTTCAGTCATTTCACTCATGTCCACTCTTCATGACCCTACTTGGGGTTTTCTTGGAAAAGATACTGGAGTAGTTGGCCATTTCCCTCTCCAGCTCATTTTACAAATGAGGAAACAGAGGCAAAGAGGGTTAAATGACTTGCCCAGGGTCACACAGCTAATAAGTGTCTGAGGCTGGAATTGTACCACCTACCTGCCCAGCTTAGAGCAATACCTTATACCATGTTACACAATATATTCTAAGTGGATATACAACCTTAATATTAAAGATCATACTATTTTTAAAAATAGAAGAGAAGCAGATCATATACCTCTCACGTCTGTGGAGATGGATTCTTCATAGAATAGAACCATTTTGGAAAGCAATTTGGAATTCTGCAAAGTGACTAAAACTTCCATAACCTTTGAACCAGAGAATCCATTGTTGGGCTTATACCCCAAGGAATCCATCAATAAGAAAGCTCCCATATGTATTAAAATACTTATAGCACCACTTATTTCTGATAGTAAAGAATTGGAAACCAAGTAGATGCCCACCAATTGGGAAATGGCTAAAGAAATCATGGTACATGAATATAATGGAATATTACTGCGCTGTAAGAAATGATATGTGTGGGGTAGCTAGGTGGTGCAGTGGATAGAGCACTGGCCCTGGATTCAGGAGGACCTGAGTTCAAATCCAGCCTCAGACACATAACACGCACTAGCTGTGTAACCCTGGGCAAGTCACTTAACCCCATCGCCTAGCCAAAAAAAAAAAAAAAAAGAAAGAAATGATATGTGTGATAAATACAGAGAAGCATGGAAAGATCCGTGTGAACTGATGCAGAGAGAAGTAAGCAGGACTGAGAAAATAATATACACAGTAACTACAACAATGTAAATGGGAAGAACAACCACACACCAAAAATCAAAAATGAATTAACAAAATTATAAAGATCAAGGATAACTGGAATTAAGAGATATGAGAAGACACCTCCAAGCCACCACTTCATGGAGATGGGAGGCACACAGGTGTTACCTATTGTGTATATTTTCAGACTTTTTCAGTGTAATCATAAGTTGTGTTGGGGGTGGGAGGTTCCTCACTAAAAGATGATAGATAGATAGATAGATAGACATATATGCGTATACATATAGATAAGCATATACATGTGCATGTATACACTATTTGTTATAGGGAATAGTGCTTATGGAAGGAAAGGAAAAGAATATTTGAGATAACTATGATAATGCCATAAATTAAATATATCAATAAAAACTTATTTTTTTAAAAAAAGATACTAATAAAATATTTTATCTATTACAAAAAAAAATGAATGTTAAAATTATAAAGAACAAGCACGGCTTGAAAGAAGAGATTTAAGAAGACACTCCCATTGTACCTTTGCAGAAGTGGGAGGGGGACAAGCATGGCAGATTGCACGTATCTTCAGACTTTTTTGATGTATTGATCAGTTATGTTCACTTTTTCTCTTCTTTTTCTTTTTCTAATCTTAAAAATATTATTTGTTATACGGGATGGTTCTTGGGGAGTGAGGGGACAGGGATGCTAGAGGAAACTATGATAATATTAAAAAAAATACATCTAATAAAAGCTTGTTTTTTTAAAAGAAAAAAAAAACATTTAAGAACCCCCTAGATGATTTCTAAAGTACCTCCAAGCTTTAGATCCTGTGAAGCTTCCAAAACATAATGAGAATATGAGGATTTCTTGAGTCTTCAAGTTTGAGTGAATTCACATAAAACCACTTTATAAGCTATAAAGCCATAAAGAATCTATGAAGGTTTTGTTGTCTCTATAGCCTCCTCCACTAGGGTTCATTCTATAAAGGGGAGGAGGTTGAGTCTGATGACGAGAAGATTTCACAGGACTACAGCATCCTACGCCCATAGAACTTGTCTCAGAAGAGACCTCCGAGGCCGTCTTGCACCCACCTGTTTTCAGAGAGGGCAAAGCACAACTGATGTTTTCAATTATCTGAAGATCATCACATGGAAGAGGGATTAGAGTATTCCACATGACTGCAGAGGGGAGAACCAGGATCAGTGGATGGAAATTACAGGGAGGAAGGCTTCATCTTAACAGAAGGAGTCACTTCCTCTCTACAAGAGCTGCTCAAAATCTAAGAATAAGTTTTCCATCCCTGGAAGTGATAAGTGAAAGCTCTAAGTCCTTGTTGTAGAAGGGAATCCATAGGGTGGTGCGGTGGCTAGAGTTCCAGCCTTAGAGTCAGGAGTTCAAATCCCATCTCAGACACTTGACATTTACTAGCTGTGTGATGCTGGGCAAGTCACATAACTCCAATTGCCTCAACAAAAAAACAAAAAAAGAGAGAGAGAGAATTCATGCTCTAGAAAGGGATCAGACAAGATAAGGGAGGCTGGTTTAGCAGCAAAAGAGATGGATTTAGAGGTAGAGGCCCCATGTCAAAGCCCAGCTGTGCCATTTATAAACTGTGCGATCATGGGCAAGTCATTTCAACTCCCTACACTTCCCTTCCCTCTGTAAAAAGAACCATATGATCCCTAATGGCCTTTACAGGAAGCCAGCGGCACAGTAGATCCTTGAGTCTAGCCTCAGGAACTTATTAGCTGTGTGATCTGGGGCAAGTCACTTAATCTCTGTTTGCCTCAGTTTCCTAAACTGTAAAATGGCGGTGATAATAATAACACCTACCTTGTTGTAAAGATCAAATTAGATAGTATGTTTTAACAAAACCCCTTAACTTTTCATTGGTCCCAAATCATAATGCCAATTTGACAAAAGAATGAATTTCCCCTTACACTGTAGTTTTCTATGATAGGAACAAGATACAGAAATACAAATATCATCAGCTGAATCAAAGATGGCAATGATATTCCATAAGGGGAGGGGAAAAAAAAGAAAAATATGGAATGCTTCACAAATTTGCATGTCATCCTTGAGCAGGGGCCATGCTAATCTTCTCTGTATTGTTCCAATGTTAGTATATGTGTTGCTGAAGCAAGCACTAGATAATATTTTTAAAAGAAAAAAAAGAGAGAAGGAAGGAAGGAGGTAAGAAGAAAGGAAGGAAGAGGGAGAGAGAGAGAGGAAGAGAAAGAGAAAAGAAAGAAAGAAAAAGAAAGAAAGAAAGAAAGAAAGAAAGAAAGAAAGAAAGAAAGAAAAGAAGGAAGGAAGATAGAAGAAAGAAAGAACTTAGCACAGTACCTGGCAAAATGTAGCTGCTATATAAATGTTTATTTTCCCTCTCTACCCCACTCCCCTACAATTCTAAAAATCCCATGCAGTCAGGCCAGCCAAATTCCTTGGCGTTCGCTGGCAGACTGCTCAGAAAAAGCCTCCCTGCTGCCATCTGTTGGTTATAGTGAGTATGGTAGGAACCTGGTCTCAAAATACAGTGAGTTTCCACCAGCATGAGCACAACTTTAGCTTCCTGGTATAGCAGTCCCACAGGAAGACACATTCATACATACAAAATGTGTGCATGCTTCACCTCATTGCCATCACTAAGACTCCTTTGTCATGGTGTGGGAAAGTCAGCCAATCAACAAGAGACTTTTAATACATCTACTATGAGCCAGGCATAGTGCTAGGCTCTAGAACAGGGGTGGGGAAACTGAGGTCACATGTGGCCTCTAGGTCCTCAAGTGTGGCCCTTTGACTGAATCCAAACCTCACAGCAACAAATCCCCAATTTGTTCTGTGAAGTTCGGATTCAGTTTTGTTCTTGCTCTAGGGGATACAAAGGCAAAAATCAAACAGTTCCTGCCTCAAGGAGCTTACATTCTAATAGGAGGTAACATTTGCATATCTAAGTATCTGCAGAATATTTACCAAAAAATACAAGATAAATATAGGAGGAGGGAGAAGAGGTTATTGATGTCTAGAGAGATCAGGAAAGGCATATATATGTGTGTGTGTGTGTATCTACATCTATATACACATATATACATATGTGTATATGTATGTATGTATGTACTTATATGTATATATACATATATGCATATACATCTATATACACATATACATGTGTATATATGTTTGTGTGTGGATGTATATATACGCATATATGTATATATACACATATATACATGTATGTGTGTGTGCGTATATACATATATAAAAATAGGAAAGAAATCACTTGAATGGTTTTGAAGGAAACAAGGAATTCTAAGAGGTGGAAGTGAAGAGAGAGTGCGTTCCAAGCATGGGGGACAGCCAGTGCAAAGACCCAGAAAGGGGAGATTGAGTATCATTTGTGAGGAACAATAAGAAATCAGTCTGGTTGGATGGTGGTGAAAGATGTAATATGTAATAAAGTTGAAAAGATATATTAGAGCCAGGCTGTGAAGGGATTTAAAATCCAGACAGAGGATTTTACATTTGATCCTAGAGACAATAGAAAGCCATTAGAATTTATTGAGTAGAGGAGTGATATGGTCAGACTTAAACCTCAGAAAAATCACTTTGGTAGATGAGCAAAGGATGGATTAGAACAGGGAGAGACTTAAGACAGGGAGGTCAACTAAGAGACCATTGAAATAGTCCAGGTGAGAGCTACTAAGACCTAAACTAGGGTAGTAGGATGAGTAGAATGAAGGGGGTAGATAAAGGGATAAGTGCCTACTATGTGCCTGACACTGTGTTAAGTGCATTATAATTTTATTTGAGGATGATGATGGTGTTGTTGTCATTATTGCTGTTGCTTGTCCTTTGTACTTAAAGAGGACCAATGATATCACAAGGGTGATGTCTTGACTCGCGAGTGAATTTTATGAGAGACAGATTGCAGATGAAAAAACAAGGTTTGGCAATTGGTTGGACATACGGGGATGAGATGAGTAAGGAGTCAAGGGTAATGGTGATGTCATTGACAGAAATAGGAAAATTATGAAGGGGATTTAGGGAAAACAATAATGGACTCAATTTTTGCACATGTTGAGTTTAAGATGCCTCACTTGAAATATTCAATAAGCATGGCAAAGAATTGGAAATTGAGGGGATGCCCATCAATTGGGGAATGGCTGAACAAGTTGTGGTATATGAATGTAATGGAATACTATTGTGCTATAAGAAACAATGAGCAGACAGACTTCAAAAAAGCCTGGAAAGACTTATAAGAAAGAGCCAATGCTGAGTGAAATGAGCAGAACCAGGAGAACACTGTACACAGTAACAGCCACATTGTGCGATGACTAACTTTCCCTTCTCAGCAATGCAATGATCTAAGACAACTCCAAAATTCTCATGATGGAAAATGCTATCCACATCTAGAGAAAGAACTATGAAGTCTGAATGCAGATGAAAGCATACTATTTGCTCTCCTTTTCTTTTGTTGTTCTATTTTTTCTTTCTTGTGGTTCCTCCCATCAGTTCTAATTCTTCTTTACATCATGACTAATGTGAAAATATGCTTAATATGAATGTATAAGTAAAGCCTATATCAGACTGCACGCTGTCTTGGTAAGGGGGGAGGGGGGGAGAAAATTTAAAACTCAAAATCTTATGGAAATAAATGTTGAAAACTAAAAATAAATAAAATGAAAGAAAAAAAGAAATATTCAATAAGCAATTGGAGATGCATTAATGGAGCTCAGCATGAAAACCAAACTCATAGGAGTTAATGAGGTCACTAAAGTGAGAGAGTATAGAGACAAAAAAGTAGACAAAGATAGAGTCTTTGGGAAAGTGAAGTCACCCCATCAGGTAGCTGAATCTCAAGCAACAAGCTCAGGCCCTTCCCAAGCAACTAAATGATCCAACCATTTAGAGGGCTGTGAGGTTTTATACTAGGGTAGGCAACAGGAAGTGGATCCATTTGTAAATATACCAGTCTTGGGTAATCAGACAAGATGAAGCACAGGGTCAGCAGAATTCCTTTGGAATAAGCACTATATTGAGATACTCAACAGTGTTTAAGATGTCTCTATCTGCATATCCCCCTTCATCTCTATGAAGAGGTCTGATCTAACTGAACTGCATGACTTGTGGAAAAATGGGTGTGCTTTTTCAGTGCCAGTGAAATTGCAAAGGAGTAGAATATTTTTTGGAAAGTAATGTGATTGTTTGCAGTAAAGGTTTAAAAGTAGCAATGACTTGTGACCCAATAATTCCATTGTCTAGCATATATACTAAGAATTTTATGAAAGCCAAACAAAAAAGCTATCCATTCCAATATTTTTATAGCATCATTATTTATAACAGTCTTTTATTTTTGGTGTAAACCATTACATTAAGAATATAAGTCCATAATAGTTTTAAGTATTATAGTATATCTTAATATATTCATTTCTTATGTCCCCTTATTGTTACTCTGAGAAACGTATCTCATTTTTCTTCATACTCATCCCACTTCTCTCTCGGCTCCCCTCCTAAGTCTCTGGACTTTTCTACCTCCTCTCCCACAGCAGGCTCCTCACCCTGGAGATGCCTTCATCTATGTGACCCCCTTCTCAGATTGATGAATTCTTCCCTGGAACCTCTTGTTGAAGGACATGCCCAGGGCCAACTATGCTCACTTTTCTCCTGACTCACCTCCACACAGGTAGTTTTCCCCTTCCATGCCATACCTCCTCCCTCCTGCCTCCCCCTCCACCCCACCCCCATCCATCCTACTTTACAGTAACTTGAGTGAAGGGACTTTATTTCCCCTTGTATTTATATTCTCTCACTGTTTTGCACAGTACCTATCACATAGTAAGCACTTAATAAAAGCTTTAGCTATTACCTCTTTAGTACAGTCCTTCATACACTGTAGGCACTCAATTAATGTCAAAGAATAAATAAATACACTTACACTTCAAAGGCTCTCCCTTACTTCAAAGTCCTTCTGCACAATACATATCAGGATGAACAATAAATATGTGGAATTCATTATCCCAGGAGTTATGAAAGCATAAATCAGTTCATGTAGGTTTAAATAAAATGTTCAATAATAGATCTATCATGAGTTATCAAGTATTTGAAGGGTTGTCAGGAGAAAGAGAAATTAGACTTGTTTTGCTTAGGAGATAATAAATAAGGCATCACCTACCAACCAGAGATGGGACTTTTTCTGTCTATAAGGGGAAAGCTGGAATTTTGTGCTGCTATATCTCTACTGAGAGGAAGCAAAGTATAGTGAGTAGACAAGGTGCTAGACTTGACATGAGGGAAACCTATTCAAATCCTGCCTCAGACACACACTAGCTGTGTAAGCCTGGGAAAATCACTCAACCTCTCTGTTTTCCCATCTGTAAAATGGGGAATCGGATTCAATAGCCTCTCAAGTCCCTTCTAACTCTAAATCAATGGTCCTATGATCTCATGGACTTAGGTAGAAACCGGGCACTTGTGTAACTCAGGCAATTAACATGACACTTGGCCTAAACAAAGCCTGGACAAAGACACATTCTTGCTTTGAGAATTACCTGGGGAAAAAATCCCTGGAAGAAAACTGCAGTATTTATAACTTTAAATTCTCAATTCTTCAACTGAGATACCCACTATAACCTATATTCTTTAGTAAACTTCACTAGGATAAAAAAAGTGTGTAGAGTGTCTTTTTAATCTTTTTACCATAAAACCACCCATTTAGAGAGCATTTACTCTTCAATGGTGGGCAAATGCATAGGCTAGATTGATCAACTCTAATCTATAAAAATAAGTCCCTCAAGGCACAATGCTTCTTGGGTGGATGAAGCAATGGTAATTGATAGCTGAAAGAGGAAATAGGGCTACCTAATTCTTACCTTGTTTTTGCTTTATCTGCAAATAAAATTGATCTTTATGCTGGAAAGGATAGTCAAAATGACTCAAGGGAAGTGAATACTGAAGATAAGTTTGGATACAACAAGATGATACTAGCTGTCCTTGATGAATTCAAGTCTCCAGGCCCATACAACCTGCAGCCTAGGGTACTGAAAGAACTGGCAGATGTCATTGCTCAGCTATTGTCAGGAATATATTGTGAAATGAATGATATACAGATTGTGTGCCATCTTTGGGAAGGAGAGAGGGGAAGAAAAAT